GCTCCGGAGGCTCCGGGAGTATGGGGAGTGCCATGATGTGCTCCCGAGCGATCCCGAGCAAAAATCGTTTTTGTAGAGTCCTGCTGGTCGAGAGAGATATCTATACAGAAAGCCTACAAACTCCATATTGTCCGATGGGCTTTCAATTTTATCGGTTGGCTAGCTCAGTTGGTTAGAGCGTCGAGCTAATAAATCCATCCGGATGAAGTAACTCGAAGGTCGTGGGTTCGACCCCCCCGCTGACCATGCTTTTGCCTCGGCTCATTAGATCAGTTATTATTGTAACTTGCCAGCTCGCATGATTCTGTCAATCTTGGGAAATATTGATTAGGCGTGGGTGTGCCGACGACGTAAATGCCAATTTGAGTATGCGGCAGCTGTTATTGTGAGTTGTATATATAGTTACCCGCACATTGAGAGTAGAACATACTTGGATGTTAGTCATAGAAAGCGATCGTGAAATTGTGTGGACTCCATGTCCAAACTGCAGGGTTTCCCCACTTATAAAGGAGGATGGGTTTATGCTGGCTACCATAGTCTCCATTCGGGTGGGTGGAATTCCGGCGGGCAATAGCCTTCCTCAAGCAAGCGGAGATCTAGTTCCGGCATATTCTCCCCCAGCCATTGCACAAGGTTGCTATCCTCTTAAAGGGATTCCCGAACGAATGTTGCATTCATATCGGTTTGATCAATCTGAACAAACGAGCAGATCCCTCCAATCGAAACTTGTCGTAATGGGTGGCTAGCTATCATGTCCTAGGGACGTTCGGTGGCGCAAATCTCGACCGAGCTTAAGTGGAGATTCTGGAGCGCTTGGAATGGTGTGTGCTCCGAGGGTGCTGTCAGACTCTTGCATAAATCCTTGCGCACGCTCCAGTGATGAACTTTCAGTGTCTTCAAGGTTGGTGTTGACTTCAAGAGCATGGCGAACTTTGACATCATCAGCCATTCCCCACTCATATGCCCAGCAATCACCAGCGTGTCAACCGACGTACGCTCTAGGAGCCTGCGTAGGTCATTTAGATGAGTGGTTTCTTCGCCTGTCGGCCCGAGCCACGCATGTCCGCCCAATCCATTCGCCTTGAGACAATTGGGAAGAGCGTCAAGTGATACGAGCCAGGAGCAATCATTGGAAGTAAGCCCTGTAAAGTATTAAGATATAGGTCTTCGATGAATAACGACCGAAGGGCTGAGAATACAACGGGTGACGAGGGGGTTGGATCATGAATTGCACCCTAATTACAGAAACTTGATATCGAGATGGTCTTCGGGTCGCGTAGATTAGTCGCCGAAGAGAGCATCCGTGCAAAAGGAGCTATCGTATCGTCGTACCCAATCTCTACTTTCTCAACCCGAAGCTCGGTGAGCCGGGAAGAGAAGGCTATAGTATCTCTGTGAGACTGAGTACCATAGATGCGGAAGGCTTTGAGCGACCGCGTCAGGCTGACGAATGATACCTGCTGGGGAGAATCGCGAGGGACAATATAACTCGAGGCCCCAGGTATACGTAACCCGGGCCTGCCCCCCATATTAAACGGTTCGATGAGCTGGATAGACAGTTCAGAGAGTGCTCTATGGCGTGTGTGCTTGGGTAACCCACTAATAGTATGTTTGACCTCCTCCTTATCGTTCGTCCTGAGGTCGATGGTGGGGAAACGAGGCCCGTGCTCAATCAAGACTGTAGCAAGGTCACTCAGTGAAATGCTCGAGCTGTTTTCTGCCACCAAATGTAGCATACCGCCGCCAGCCCTTTTCAAACTCAGTTCAAAGGGCCCCCTTCTCTTAGCGAACGGGCCTGAAACCATCAGGATTATCGACCAGAAAATTCCCCTCGTCATTAAAATATCTCCCCAGGTCGAACAGACACTGATCAGGTTATATAAACAACGATAGATAAGCCAGACGTCTTGTTTCATTGATGAGGGTTGGGACCCCTTAAAGTTGTTACGATCAAAAACGACGTTTAGAAATATCTCCAATAGCAACTCCTGGGGGAGGTTATAGAGTGGGGATGCAAGTTTGTTGCGCGCCCGTGCCAGACTAGAGCTAGCTCCCCCAGATAGTGAGATATACGAGAGTGTATTACCCTAAGAGTGGAGTCGATTTTGGGAATCAGCGCATTAGATTGGGCACCGCCGCGCGGCAATCCGGTTTCCAGACTAAGACACAGGTCCCCATATAGCCTTTGAACGCAGTGACAAGAGACGCGCCAGCTTCCTCCCATCGTTTGATCGAGGCGCACGGTGGAGACTAAACTTGTCAACTTGCTACCTCGGTATCATTTCTAACGGGGTGACTTACATCAGATATTCATTCTAGTGTCAATAATAATTGTCGCGCTTGATAGAAGTTATTTGACCTGGGCAGTATTTCTCAAGATTTCAGTCGTGATCGAGGGTTTCAAAAGAGCTGGATGTGGGGTTGAATATGAAATTTCGGGCTCGCGAACCCCCTGATCCAACAAGCGCCAGCGCATGGCTGATACAAACTCCGAGTCAAGTAATTTAGGCCAGTGACACGAGCTAATTAGTTACTGTACAAATTATTATTACAAAAATACATGCAGATTTATAGATAAACATGGAAGATGCAGGGAAGTAACACAAATGAGATTGTATTGCGGCTGAACGCGCCGAACACCGGAGGGCGGGCTGACAGTATATACGTAATTACCACAGTTTCCATTCTTTTGAATGGAATTCCGGTGGGCAGTAGTCCTCCTCAACCAGTCGAAAGTCTGGATGTAGCGCATTCCATCTGAGCCATTGCACAATGCTGCTGTCCTCTTGAAGAGGTTTCCAGCCGGCTGGTTGATCAACCCAGTACTTCCCTCCAAGTATAATCCCCCGGAGCGAACGACTGGTTATCATGTCCAGGAAACTTTTATCATCGTGGATAGTAGCCAAAGTCAAATGGAGATTTTGGAGTACCGGGAACGGATGGTCTTCAGCGGATGTTTGAGCTTCTCCCACCCGCGTTAGACCCGAGCATATATCCTGGTTAAAGGTCCAATTGTGCAATTTTAGCGTCTTCAGGACAGCAGTTGCCTTCAAAATGTTGGCGAGCTCGGAGACTGTTAACCAATCGCCCTCCAACTCTCCACCTATCATTAAGGTATCGACCGAGGTATGCCTTAGAGCCCTGCATAAGACGTCAACCTCATCGAAATCTTCCGCCGTAACTTCCGCAGGGTCGTCTACTAGGATCTTGGTATCGAGACTGTTGGGGGACAGAAATAGCGTAAAGTGATACGAGCCAGGAGCGATCATTGGAAGCAACCGCTCTAGAGTGTTGAGGTACAAATCTTCAATAAACAACGACTGAATGGATGGGAAGGTAATGGGTGATGGTGAAACTGAATGTTGAGTCCGAGTCGTAAAATCACGGACAGTTATTATTGAGATGATCTCCAGGTCGCGTAGATTTGATGCCGAAGTGAGGGCTTGTAATAACGTGACAATCGCGCCGTCGTACCCAAGTGTTACACCTTGGACTCGGAGTTCGACGAGCCGAGTAGAAAATGGCAAGGTATCCCAATGAAACTGGGCACCACTGATACGAAAGGCCACAAGGTCACGCACTAGACTAGCAAATGATGCTTGGTGAGGGGAGTCGCGAGTGATAATATAGTCTAAACGTCGAGGTAGCCTCTCTGTCCCGTCTCCCATTTCAGTCAACCGGATAGACAACTCAGAAAGTGACCCGGGGGTGTTGTACTGCAGTATCTTGTTAATAGCGTCGTCAAGCTCCCCTTTATCGTTCGTGCTGATGTTGATGGTACGGAAGCGGGGACCGTGCTCGGCCAAAAGTACAGCAAGATCAATTGGCTTATTAGCGAAGCTGGTATCTGCTGCTAAATGCAACGGGCTCCCACCAGCCCTCTCCAGGCCAAATTGGAAGAACTTGGGAGCAGATGGAGTCGAAAAAACCGGTATCACCAACCAAAGTGCTCCTCTAGTCATTACAACATCTCTCCAGGAAGAACAGACGTTGAGCAAGTTATAGAGATGGCGATAAATGAGCCGGACCTCCTGCTTCATGGTCAATCGTTTGGGTGTGTCTGCGGTGTGATCATAGACAACGTTCATGAATATCTCCGACAGGATCTCTTCGGGAAAATCGGCGAGCGGAGATGCCAGCTTGTTTCGAGTTCGTGCTAGGACAGTGATAGATTTATTGAGGTTGTGAGACATTGTTGTATGTGCCGCCGCGAGAGTGGAATCGATCCTTGAGACAAGGTCCTTTGGTTCTGCACCTTCGCGCAATGAGTTGGTCCCTAGATCAATACATAGCTCCATGTAGTCCCTCAATGCAGTGAAAAGAGACACGCCAGCTTGCTCCCAACGCTTGATCGTGGCGCACGATGGGGACTAGACTTGTCAATGTACTATCCCAGGATCGATTCCAATAAGTGTAACTTACGTCCAATAGATTCATTTTAATCTAGATAATAATGCTTGTGCTTGACAGATGTATTTTGACCTGGGCAAACACTCAGGATTTCAGTCATGATTTTGGTTGTGATCGGGAAACGGGGACCTGACTGCGGGGTCGAATTGGAAATCATATCTATGGCGGAGTTGAATTTGAAATCATGGACCTGCGATCTCAAGCTTCAACAAGCGCTAAATATAGTAGCGGTATAGTAGCCTGATGCAACCTCAAGTAGGCCGGCCGCACAAACAAATTAGTCGCCGTACAAACATCGGATCGTTATCGTACAACTACATGCACATTGACAGAGAATCACTGTAGATACACGAAGATAGCACAAATTGGTCTGACATTGCATCTGAAGACGTTGAGCTCTTCTAAACACTGGAGGGTGATTTGACACTAATTACCATAGTTTCCATTTTTTTAAGTGGAACTCCGGTAGGCAGTATTCTTTCTCAACCAATTGAAAGTCTAGGTGTTGAGTGTTCCGCCTGAGCCATTGGACAATGGTACTATCCTCTTGAAGAGGTTCCCAACCGATTGATTGATCAATCCTTAACTGTCCTCCAAGTATAATTTGCCGGAGTGGATGGCTAGTTACCAAGGCCTCAAAACCTTTCTTGTCGCGAATATCGGCCAAACTAAAATGGAGATTCTGGAGTGTCGGGAGTGGATGGTCCCTAGAGGATATTTGAGCCTTTTTTGGACGTGTTAAGCCCTTGCATAAATCCTGGTCAAAGATCCAAGCTTGCATTTTCAGGGTCTTCAAGGCCGGCATTGCCTTCAGGAGTTCAACAAGCCCCGAGGTT